GTTACCGGGAATTGATTACCAATAAAAGTGGTATTCTTACCTGAAAAAAATAGTAAAAATACCGGTTTTTAGGTAAGCTTACTATTATGTCTTGGTAAAATTACCAATAATTGGTAAAAAAGTGAGATGGTAAAGGTACCAACGGACCTTGGTTAAAATGCCGACAATGGGCCTGTTGCATGCAAGAGATACAGCCGTGCGAATAGACTTTTTAGTGGTTGAATGACACGAAAATTACGATGGTCACAGAATAAAAGTCTGAAATACACTCCTTACTGCGCAATTTGCGTTGTTAGGAACGCGCTTTTTCAAATCTCCCGCGTCTGGGGGCAGTTTTCTAACGGAAACAATTAACGGCAACTCGCGGCTATTTCCGGTCAACTAAAACTGACAACATAACCTAAAAATCGGAGCTCGTCATATCGTGAAATGAAATGCAGAAGGATTGCGCTGGATATTTAAAAGTTGATCGATTTGGTTACCGCATAAAGCGTATATGGACCACTATAAGGGATCACGTTGGGTTTGTAAACAAACTGAAGGAAAAAATAACGACAACAACAACAACGACTCGGCATCTTCCGGAAATCACCGAGCCCGCCGTTTGCTCGTTTTTGGTGATTAGAAAACTGCCCCCAGACGCGGGAAATTTGAAAAAGCGCGTTCCTAACAACGCAAATTGCGCAGTAAGGAGTGTATTTCAGACTTTTTTAATGTGACCATCGTAATTTTCGTATCATTTAACCTCTAAAAAGTCTATTCGCGCGGCTGTATCTCTTGTATGCAACAGGCCCATTTGTTTTCAGTGTATGAGCCATCAGGCGTAGACAAATTTCCTTCCAAAAATTACAAACTTACAGGAGAGTTTGTGAATATTTCTCTTCCAATTTTTTAGAGCATTTCGTCCGTAATTTGATCTATAAAGTCCTTTTTTTTTCTTTTTTTTTTTACTACTTCAAGTAGCCCACAAGGGCCAATCATGCGCTTTTAATCCCATCTCCCCTCCGTCCCTAACAACCAGGCCCAGGCAACCAATGTCTGAGACCATCACCCGGGTAAAATTTGGCAGTAGAATCTGTGTTCCAAAATACCATGGACCTAGACCTACCCGGCTGTAAGATTTCCAATAGCTTCTATAGCCGGCAACACAATTTCTTATCTATATTATACAGCTACAAGCAAATTCTTGGAAGCACTATTTCTGACGAAATGCCGGACCGATAAGGCTGATCTTTACATGAAATCTTACATGATGATCTTACATTTAAAAAATGAATGTTATCTGAGGGGCAATTCAAGGGCGAGTGGATCGAGTCAATTAAAGAAGTCGGGCATGGAATTTTGAACTAAAACTGCAAATTTTGATGTTTATGTCGCCACATTTCAAATTTTAAGGGGTGCTTCTGGAGGAAAATTTCACGAGGAAACCAATGGAGCTACTTCGAGAACCTCAAAGCTTTGTATAAACGGAGGTATGAGCTTTTAAGTTTCCAAATCTTGTCCAACCTCTCCCATTGACTCGATCCACCGTGCGCCGCGCCGGTTCAAGTTTCGGTAAAGTATTACGGATGAATTCCTCCGAGAGGAAACTAGCTATGGAGATGGAGACAGCAGAGAAATCGAGAGATAGGAAAGATGAAGCATGCAAAAAATACAACGGTGTTAGTGGTCAGAAAGGGCCAGGGGACACACCCTCGAGCCGCTGCGCGGCCCAACCCCCGGAGAGACATTTTGAAACATCGCAATGGAGAATCGTGGTTTCGCACTTTGGTCATCGATCACTGAAAAGAAATTCTCGGCGTTTTTACCAAGGTCCGTTGGTACCTTTACTATATCTCACTTTTTTTTACCAATTATTAGTAATTTTACCAAGACAGACTGGTAAGCTTACCTAAAAACCGGTATTTTTACTGTTTTTCTCAGGTAAGAATACCACTTTTATTGGTAATCAAGTCCCGGTAACTTTGCCATTTTATCTCGGTAATTCTACCACAGTCGATAAAAAATATTGTCGTTTTTACCAAGGTCCAGTAAAATTACCGAGAAAGTTCAAGAATTTAACCGAGATTTCTCGGTAAAATTACTAATTCCATAAATGGTAATTTTACCAAGAAAAAACTGGGATCAAATAGAACCCTGAATTCTTGGTAATTTTACCCTTTTCTTAGTAAATACGCCGAGTTTTTTTTTACAGTGATTGAGGCCTTTAAACAATGACCATGAACACGACCCTCAGTCACTGACCGGTAGGAAGGGGGCGCCGAATTTGCCGTTTACGTGGGTGAGGATAAATTCATCCCTGCGACGGCCTTGTTGATCGGCTGAAAAAAAGTTTAACAACTCGGGTGCGGTGAGACTTTTGGGAAAAGGATAAACATAGGTTCGCGGCTCCCCTGAGTTGCTTTCCGAAACATTGAACGTGCTGAACCGAAGCTGCCGGGTATAACCTTTGTTTTTTAAGCGTGTCTCCGCCTGTGTCTCGGCGATTTCCGTTTTCCGTTCAGAAAACTCGACGCCTCTCGTACACTGGCGCACAGTGGATCGAGTCAATAGGAGAGGTTGGACAACATTTGGAAACTTTAAACGCTTGTACCTCCATTTATACGAAACTTTGAGGTTCTGAAAGTGGTTACACTGGCTTCCTCGTAAAATATTCTGGTAAAATCACCCCTTTAAGTTTAATATGTGACGAAATAAACATAAAAATTTGCGGTTTTAGTCGAAAACATCAAATCCGACCTCTCCAATTGACTCGATCCACTCTGCGGCGTGCTGCAAGCTCGAAACGCGTACTAACGCCTACAAACCTAAGGGGATACTTCCAGCATTGCGCAATGCTGGAAGTATCCACTTAGGTTTGTAGGCGTCAGTGCGTGTTTCGTGCTGGCAGCACGCTGTACCGCGGCGCACGGTGAATCGAGTCAATGGTAGAGGTCGGTCATGGGCGACGAAAAAAAAGTCGGATTTTAAATATTTTTTCTTGGTTTCCTAGTAGTTAAGCTTCCTAAATGAATGTATCCATGATTCAAGGGTCTTTGAAGTTCTAAATGTGGTTTCATTAGTTTCCTCGTGAAATTTTCTTCAAGAAACATTCCTGGAAAGTTAAAATGTGACGAAATAAATATCAAAATTGGCAGTTTTTGCCAAAAAATTTATGTCCGACCTCGAACCTCGGTGATTCGTTCGATCCAGTGTGTGGCGTGGCGTGTTTTGAGATATATCGAATGATCTGCCATTTAAACCAATGGAAAATGATCGATAAATGGGGTGCTCGCAACGAACACCTTAATACTCGATTCTTTACCATAGGTTCAAATGGAGAAATATCGATAATCGATCATTCACGCCACGCCACTGCTCTCGTGCATCTCGGAAATCGGCGGTCGAGGCTCACATTGAACCAGGATCCTAAACTTCAGTCTGCCTTGCTGAGGAAAAACGCCATATGAGCCTTCAAACGTTGCCAAATTTCCTTTGACCCATCACGAAATTTTGGAAAAGTTTGTGATTATTACTTGCCGTTTTCTCGTTTCCAGTGACTAGAAAATTGCCCCCGAACGCGAGGAATTTGAAAAAGCGTGTTCCGAACTACGCAAATCGCGCACGGAGGATTGGATGTTGGACTTTTCAAATGTGACCATCGTAATTGGACTGCATTTTGCAATTTGGAACTATAAATTCTGGCTCTTCTGGAAAAACACTTTTGTGCACAGGGAAACTAATGGTACATACGTTGTTTTTAAACCGGGCTAGAATTTATAGTTCCAAATTGCAAGATGCAGTCCAATTCGTTGTTTCCCTCACGAAAGAACGTAACTACATTTGGACTACATTTTGCAATTTGGAACTATACATTCTAGCCCGATTTAAAAACAGCGTATACGCCATTAGTTTCCATATGCACATAAGTGTTTTTCCAGGAGAGCCAGAATTTATAGTTCCAAATTGCAAAATGCAGTCCAATTGTAGTTACGTTCTTTCGTGAGGGAAAGGACGAATTGGACTACATTTTGCAATTTGGAACTATAAATTCTAGCCCGGTTTAAAAACAACGTATGTGCCATTAGTTTCCCTATGCACATAAGTATTTTTCTAGAAAAGCCAGAATTTATAGTTCCAAATCGCAAAATGCAGTCCAAATGTAGTTACGTTCTTTCGTGAGGGAAAGGACGAATTGGACTACATTTTGCAATTTGGAACTATACATTCTAGCCCGATTTAAAAACAACGTATGTGCCATTAGTTTCCCTATGCACATAAGTGTTTTTCCAGGAGAGCCAGAATTTATAGTTCCAAATTGCAAAATGCAGTCCAATTGTAGTTACGTTCTTTCGTGAGGGAAAGGACGAATTGGACTACATTTTGCAATTTGGGACTATAAATTCTAGCCCGGTTTAAAAACAACGTATGTGCCAATAGTTTCCCTATGCACATAAGTGTTTTTCCAGAAGAGCCAGAATTGGACTACATTTTGCAATTTGGAACTATAAATTGTAACCCGGTTTAAAAACGACGTATGTGCCATTAGTTTCCCTATGCACAGAAGTGTTTTTCCAGAAAAGCCTGAATTTATGGTTCCAAATTGCAAAATTCAGTCCAATTTATAGTTCTAAATTGCAGTCCAATTATTGTGCCATTTCACCGCTGAAAAGTCCATTCACGGCCGTACCTATCTCTTGCGTTATGCGGATCCATTGACCTGCATTTTGTCGCTCGAAGGCACAGTCCCTGGCTCATCCGTAAAAGTACTTTTGTGCACAGGGAAACTAAATGGTACATCCGTTGTTTCTTAACTGAGCCAGATGTTGTAGTTCTTAACTGCAAAATGTAGTTCCATTGTGCCTCCGTTGACTTATGGCTCTTTTTCCCGTCAACGGTAGCAACTGTGTTTACCTATTTGCACCGTCAAAATGTTGTTACGCGGTTGGGTATTTTTCGAACTTGTTTGTCTATTGCAGTGCGGTTGAATAATGTTGATGTCGGGCATTGTTTGTTGACAGGAGAAGGCGAGATGGAGGGGGCCTGGTTCAGAGAGCGGCTGCAAAGATGTCGCGAGTCCCGCAAACTGGTGCTTGTCATCGTCGCACTTGCCCTCCTTCTCGACAACATGCTCCTCACCACCGTAGGTTAGGCCACCATTCATACACCCCTTTGAACACCTTCCTTCTTAAGGTGATTCGTCAAGCTCAAGTGACGTGGTCGAACTGGCATGCGATATATCGCATATCTTTTAGGTCAAAAATCTCGGCAGATTTTGAATTTTCAGCAAAAAAAAGGACGATAGCCCCTGCGCATGAGCCTACACTGAAAAAAAAGTAGNCTAAGCCGTTTTCTCCTCTCTCAGTTTTGAGGTTAGGTTGACCCAACCCTACCGAATGCGAATTAGAGTAGCGGAATTAGTTTCCAGCACTAATAGTGGTTAGTGTACAGAAACCAAAAATCATGTGTGTCCAAATCACACAATTTGAGTTAGTGTATAGAAACCATTTTTAGTCATCTGACGCTAACTCATTTTTTTCAGTGTAGAGAATCATTCTAAACCCAAAAACCTGCAAAATTCAGAGAAATGAAAGCAGTATAGTGTTTGGAAGAAAACCTCGCATTCGATTCAGCCATCGATTTCTGTATCGAATGCGAGGTTTTTTTCTAAACCCTATCCTGCTTTCATTTCTCTGAATTTTGACGATTTTTGGGTTTAGAATGATTCTTTAGGCTCATACGCAGGGGCTATCGTCCTTTTTTTTGGCTGAAAATTCAAAATCTGCCGAGATTTTTGACTTAAAAAATGCGATATATCGCATGCCAGTTCGACCACTTCTTTTGAGCTTGACGAATCACCTTAAGGTGATTCTATGTGACCTAGGGACGAGATCTGCCATACGCTGCGCTGCCTCACGGCTTACGTCTTTGAGAGGCAATAATTAGCGTAACGTACCAGATACGTATATCACAAACCGCTTAGCAGCGCAACGTAATGGCGAATCTCGTGTCTAGATCACATAGGATCACCTTAATGCTGGCCGGACGGACTCGGCTCATTTAGACCTAAGACTTGTTGTTATTGGGTGGAATTGGGCTAAGCAAGCAAGCTCAAGAGCTTGCCTAAATTGAGAGTTAGGAAAAAGATAAAAACACACATATTTGACATGGCTTAGGACATGTAACGTATAATTGGTGAACGGAACGTAATAGAAATTGGACGAAGACGAGGAAGAGGACGTTTTAGCGCAAGGAGAAGAGGAAGGAGAAGAAGAAGAAGAAGAGGAAAGGGAGGAAAAAGAAGAAGAGAAAGAGGAAAAAGAGGGAGAAGAAAAAAGAAGAGAAGGAGAGAAAAAGACCTGAGGCCTAAGAAAAAGGAGAAGAGGATGAAGAAAAAGAGACAGAATAACGAGAGAGAAAAAGAGGAGAAGCAGAAAAAGAGACGGAATAACGAGAAAGAGAGAATGAAGAAGAGGCAAAGAAAGAAATTCTTCTTTAATAATGCTTTTTCCTAATCTTCTTTTCCTCCTCCTCTTCTTCATCGTCTTTTCCTTCTTTTTCCTCTTCATCTTAATCCTCCTCTTCTCCAATTATCATTTCTCTTCTTCTTCCTCTCTTCCTTCCTCTGCTCCTTCTTTTTCTTCCCATTTTTACCTCCTCCTCTATTATTTGCTTTTCTCTTCATCTTCTTCTTATCTTTCTCTGATTTCATTCTTTCCTTCTTTTTCCTCTTCTTCTTTCAATGTTTTCTCCTATTCCTTTTTATTTCCTTCTTCTCTATCTTGTTCCTCTTTTACTCCTCCTCCTCCCTCTTCTCCCTCCCATTTTCCTCCTTCCTCTTGATCTTTTTCCACCTTCTTCCTATTTTTTCTTTTATTCCTCCCGCTTTTATCCTTCCTTTTCTACTTCCTCTTCTTCCGATTTCCAATGCTTCCTCATTTGACACACCTAAATCCTAGAAAACCTAGGATCAAGGCCTCCGACACAAGTTAACAGTGGCGAGGCGTGAATGATCAAGGTGTTCGTTGCGAACATCCTATGTATCGATCCTTTTCCACAGGCTTAAATGACAGATAAATCGATATATCGCAAAGCACGCCACGCCACTGCGAGTTAACAGCATATTCTACAGAGCCAATTGCCTTCAAAAAGAGATTATGACCACTGGAGTATGTATGTCAATACATGGCACATACATGGCAATCAATTGAATCAATGCATGAACCTTTTCAACTCAAACCTAGAATTTTGTTTTTCCATGATACTAAAGTGTCACATTTCAAGTTGAAAACGGCCCGGAATTAATACTGCGGCTCTTCTTTTCTCTTTATTGCCAAGTGGGGCGTACTTATGCAATTCTAAAACCAGTATAGTGCTTTACACTCTAAAAAATATTTTCAATCTAAGCCTCCAAATGGCAGGGGTAGTCAGAAGGGCAGCAGAAATTAAACCTGCAAAAATTGGTAACAACCCCCTTCCACACAGAACCTCAATTTGAAAATTCTATAATAAAATATTCGCACAGACCCAACCTCACTTATGAATTGACTTCATGTGTTTTTCTTGTTTCAGTTCCAATAATTCCGGAATTCTTGTATGATATCAAACATCCAGACGCCCCCCTCACCGTAACCTTCGCGCCCATCACAGAAACAAATGGAACGGATATCAGTAAGATGCCTATCGATTTTTCATTCATTAATTTAGCTTCATACTGGATATATTACGGTCAAAATATACTTTATGTTTTAGAAAAAAAAAAAAAACGATGCCAGAACCAGAAATTGAAACTAGAGAAAGGCACAATTATAATAAAAATTAATGAAGTATAAAGAATGAAGAATAAGAAAATAAAAAATAAATAAAAATTGCAATAGAATTAAAAAAAGAGAAAAAAATAGAGAAAAAAGAGTACATTTTGAGATGAAATAATAAAAGAAATTGGAGAAAGGGGGGAAAAATAAGAATAAATATTGAAATACATGTAAAGGAGAGAAATTCATAAATAGAATAGATCAATGAAAAAAAAAAACACATGCTTATCACACTTACTTACTTATTACACTTATTCCTTTACTTCCGTAGACAATGCAACACTTAAACGAGAGGAGGCCTTGCGACAGGAGAGACACAAAGATCTGGTGGAGGAAACGGTGGCTGTCGGCGTCATGTTTGCATCGAAAGCTTTCGTTCAACTCCTGGCTAACCCCATCGTCGGCCCCCTGACACACAAGTAAGAGACAGGTGGGAAAGGAGGGGTGTGCTCGTTATAGTGCTCGGGTCGTAAGAATAAAAGGGAATTATAAAGCGCCAATGACGTCAGCGGAGACGACCGAGCCCCGAAATGACCAAATGATGTATTTATTCTAGAAGGAACGATGTCGAACGCAAACTCTATGCACATAGTTCCTTTTAGCATAAGTATGTCCAAATCATAATGCATTTCGTAAAATGCAGACCTCCGATGAGCAAAAATTCGTAAAGCTGAGAAGATTTAGTCAAGGTTGCCCCAAAAATGGCCCTTATTGATATTCCTCCTTTAATCGATAGTGTTGGGTTTTTGCAATGGAGATGTTGCATGTGTGAGGAATTTGCGATTTGACTGTTGATTCTCATGCAAAAATTCGCAAGAAACACGATGGTTCCTCTGGTTTTCTCTAAAACTAACTCCCAAGCTCAAAAAAAGCTCTCAAGTTGAGGCCAAAATGGAAGGGATATCCCACGCTATCCTCAGAGTCCACCTCTACATCAAGACAAACTCTCCATGCAAAGATAGGGAGCAAATACATTGACAGGGCTGCCACTTTATTAGGGGACTCCAAAACTGAAAACATGGCAACCCTGCTAATGTATTTGTTCCCTATCTTTGCATGGAGAGTTTGTTTTGATGTAGAGGTGGGCTCTCAGGATTGCGTGGGATATCCCCTCCTTTTTTTGAGCTTGGGAGTTAATTTTAGAGAAAACCAGAGGCACCATCGTGTTTCTTGCGAACTTTTGCATGTAATGAGAATTAACAGTCAAATCGCAAATTCCTCACACATGCAACATCTCGATTCTCCACTGTAATACTATTCCTCTGTACATAAAAAATGAGGATCCTATGTAAGATTGTGAATTGGAATATCGTATGAGATTGATGACGTTTGAAGTGTGCCATTCTTCAGGTTTGTGAAAAGTTGGTTAACAGTAAATTTTTAGCGTAATATTCACTTTAACAGACGAATTACCCAATAAAGGCATATGTTGAGAAAACTGTAGATTTACTGGTTGACAAGTCAAAAATCAACAAAATTTTATTGCTCTTCGGGATTTGAATATTTGTCTTGTTTAAATTGATTTTTTCAAGACACACCATGCAATTTGAGGAAAGCAGCCTCATCAAGCGACTAAATATTTTTAAAGCAAGCAGTCTTAAATGAGTAATTTGCTTTTTATCGTGATAACTTTCATATTTCTTACTATAATTGCAAGGTACCTAGGTAAATAATAATCATTATTCACATTCAGTATTTGGAGAGTTGTAATAACGTTTAAAAGGATGTTTCTAAACTTCCATCGACAGTCTCTCCCTCCGAATTCCTAACAATTATTATCTTTTAAAACGATTAAACCCTATCAATTTCGTACCAATTATTTGAATTTTATGTTCCAGAGTTGGATACAGTATTCCCATGTTTACCGGTTTTATCATCATGTTCCTGTCAACGTTGAGTGAGTTCTACTACATGCTTTGGTTTCATTAAGTTAAATCACTAGAGAATAACGTTCCTCCAATCTCCCATCTGCCACTGGAAAAATATTTTCAAAATTACTAACATTATTGTTTTCAAGATTTATTGGCGTCATTAGAGTCGTCTCATTATGGGCCAGGGAAAATTAGTACTCATACAAAATCCAAATTAATGAATTATCAAATTAAAGATCAACTCAAAAGCAATCACTGGCGGCAGGACCGACCTCTTTTACGGCATTTAGTAAAGGACCTATCAAAATTTAATTAGGGGCCTTTCAAGTATGACGTAACTCAGATGAGAGGGGGGGGGGTTTGAGTCAGCTTTACGGTGCGTTAAAAAGGGCGGAGAGGGGGGCGGTCAAGCCCAGCGTTACGTAAAAAATCCGAACCGAGGGAGAAAAAAACCTTTGAAGGGAACGTGCAAGAAATTAAAAACCCCGCCCTTCCCGAATGATATTTTTTCTTGATTTTTTTAAAATTGGGGTGGGAGTCAGGCCAGCGTTACGTGATCAAAAGAAGGGCGTAGGCTTTAGAACTTCGTTACAATCAGAGAAAGTGCGTTACGTAATACTTGAACAGTCCCTTACGGCTCTAAAGCGTGGGAACTTTCCCCCGCTCTCTTCTCACAAGGGATCAAAAAGGGACAATTTTTAATGTGAATCAATAATTATTTGAAAGAAAGGGAAAAACTATAGAATGCCTCCATGCCACACAATGGTCAATAATTATGTTTCATAAAATTTCCGGATTTCATTTACATACATATGATATTTGTTCATTTAGAGTTATTTTATTATTCATTTTCTCCTTTTTCATGCTTCAGTCTTTGCCTTTGGAAGAAGTTACAGTGTTCTATTCATAGCCAGAGCTTTACAAGGTGTCGGATCTTCGTGTTCCAGCGTATCAGGTATTCCTCAAAAATAATAATTGAAACTCACGTTATATTTTTGAAGAACAGGTACTAATATTCAACAGTAATTTACTCGTTTATAAAAATCTGAATTGAAATCAGTTAAAATATAATCTGAATCAGCAAAAACCTGAATTCGTTCTTTTAAATTATTACTGTTTCTTGGTATCGTATATTTAAGTCTAAGCCTGCCGCGCCTTAGCGTGCCACGACGCTTGAAGCAACTATTTCACACCAGAGGTATTGCACAGTATCATATACGAAACTGAAGGCGCTCTAATATATTAGGAATGGAATGGCAGGCATCCATCAAAAGAGCGGAGCTTTCCTCGCAAAATAAATCAAGATACTACGGCCCAAAAAGAGAGCAGTAGTCCAAAAACTTACTAAGTCCTAGCATCCGTAATTAGTAACGTTTAGCATATCGCCTGGCTGTTGCTTGGTCGCCATCGGCTATAAAAGGCCATAAGAAACTGTGTTGCCAGCTATAGAGGCTATTGGAAATCTTACAGCCGGCTGTAAGTCTATGGTATTTTGGAACACAGATTCTACTGCCAATTTTTACCAGGGGTTTTGAATGTTACAGCACACCATTGTCCCAAATTTTAAGAGAAAAATTATTTTGCTGGTCTATATAACAGAGCTGAAAAAACTGGCGATTTGAAATATGTTTGCAGGGATGGGGATGCTTGCGGAAAAATACCCGGACGACAAGGAGAGAGGAAACGCCATGGGTATAGCTCTGGGAGGCTGGGCTCTTGGAGTCTTGATCGGGCCCCCTTTCGGTGGATTCATGTACGAGTTCGTCGGCAAATCCACGCCTTTCCTCATTCTCTCCGCTCTAGCACTTGGAAATGGATGTAAGTCACCGAAAATAATGTTTACCGCACCATTAAGAGGCAATCAACAGCAGATAATTAATCCAACACTGGAAAAAAAACACATTGGATCTACCCAATCGGAAATTTGACCCTGGGCAGATCGGAATAATATTGTGGCAACCTTAGCGAGATTGTGAGCATATTTCAACAGTAAGGTTGGCCTGAGAATCTTGGTACAATATACCATCAATACTGGATATATAACCTTAGTATTTTAATATTGCACCAATATTAGCAACATTAGAAATCCAAGGTCAGGTGGTGCTCGGTGATTCCAAGATTGTCACAATGTTGTCACAATATTGGTTATACAATATTGGTAAACTAATACTGTCGTAGAGTTATGTTTTCAATATTGCAGTAATATGTTAGTTTTAACATTGGCATATTATTAAAAAAAATACTGAACATAGGCTTCTGCTTATAATATTGACACAATATTGACACAATATTAGGAAAACAAAATTGCTAAAATAATATCGAGACGATGTTATCTCTGTGATACTGCGGTATTGTTATTATGTTAACATTCAATTAACGTTAGAACAACAAACATAACAGGCTTCTGTTCGTAATATTGTCATAATATTGACACAATATTGGATATCTAAAACTGCTGAATTGATATTATGCTAACATTATTTTTACAACATTGTGGTAATATTCGCACTTTAACATTGTCACAAGATTAAGAAAATAAACATTTTAGGCTTCTGTTTCTAATATTGTCATAAGATTAACACAATATTGTGCGCGGCGAGCACAATTCGACCGCGTTTGCTATTTCCGCCATCAGGGCGCGCTCGCCGCGGATCTGCCGTTGCGGTCCCTTTAAGGGCAAATTAAAGGGCAAAAACTGCGACCTTTCGCTTTTTGACGTAATAGGCACATGATCCATAGGCGTCTAACCCATCTTACCGATATTCTTAGGCCAAGGGCTCAAATGGAGCTTTTTGGCAACGGTCCGCGCGCGGCCACCCCGTCAATGGGGCTGGTTCTCGTTTCGCCTGGACAGTGCCCGTTACAAGCGGGATCCAAGTTGAATACTTCAGCCAGTGCAAGCAGCCAAGAAAATAGCTGACTTAGGAAGGTTCCTCGACACTCCAATGTTCCGTATGCCTATATTAGGCATTGCGACGCTATGAAATTTCCTCCGCGAGGACGGCAGGTAACACGGCGTTCTATCGCCTACCTTGCCTCAGAGGTAAGAATGGAAATCCAAGCTTGTCTCAGAGGTAAAATAAAGATCCTGCCAATACTATGGCAATATTTTAACATCAAGTATATGCCAACATCATGATCACAATATCCGCTGAACAAGCTTGGAGCAATATTATAAACATAACGTTGTCACAATATTGAATATCCAAGTTTGACTCGGAAGTAAAATAATGTCCCACCAATATTGTGGCAATATTGTCAGGATAGGCTTGGAGCAGTCTTACAAATCTAACCTTGGCACAATCTTTGGGCTCAAGCTTGTCCCAGAGGTAAAATAAATGTCCTGCTAACAATGTGGGAACATTAGCAAGATAAGCTTGGCAACTCTATTCAAATGTGAAAAAATGTCATACTAAGCTTGTACCAAGGTCAAATTTCCGATTGGGTAGAGTCCAGACTCTTGAAAACATTGACAAGAAAAAGGACTCTTGATTCAATCAGATTTAAGCTTAAATCAAAAGAAAATCCGCTCAAATTAAGAGGCTTGTTCTTGATTTAAGCTGAAATCTGATTGAATCAGGAGTATTTTTTCTTGGCGATGTTTTTAAGAGTCTGGACTCTAGATCCAATGTGTTTTTTTTTTCCAATGAAAAGTTTTGAGGCTATAAATTAAGAATTCGAAAAAAAAGAAGAAGAAAACACTTTTAAAGCTTGAAGCAACACCAAAAGAAGTTGACGTCTGTGTAAGGAAAAATCAACATCTGCTCAAAAATCCTCGAAATTCTGCATTGAACTTAAACTACATCAAAATTCAATAATTCGATGGCCAAATTGCGAAACCACATGCCTTAATTTGCGACGCACAGTGGATCGAGTCAATAGTGGATTGGTCGAACAAGATTTGGAAACTTTAAAAGCTTATAACTCCGTTTATTCAAAATTTTGAGGTTCTAAAAGAGGTTTCGTTGGTTCCCTCGTAAAATTTTCTTCCTGAAGCACCCCTTAAAATTTAAATTGTAACGAAATGAACATCAAAATTTGCAATTTTAGTCAAAAATGTTGTGTTCGACCTCTTTAATTGGCTCGATTCACTGAGCGACGTGGCAGGCTCCCTGTCATATTCCTGTTTATTTTTTCTTTAAAAAACCAGTCAACATAATTTCTTGACAACTTCCTCGATTCAAATTAATTGTTACCAAGATATTCTGTATACATTTCAACCTTTGAAGTTGCCTTGTTTCTCCTCGAAAAAATAAACTAGGAGCGGAAATTTTGAAACACCGCAATGGATATACGTGGTTTTGCACATTGACCATTGAAATTTATTAAGGGACTAGCATAACTCTCCACCACAACTATTCGCGAGGACACTTGCGGTGAAGAGGTGCAAAAATTTGACGATCTTCAGGTGTAATTCAATCGATGAACTTCAGTGTTACAGCTCTTACTTCTTCAACCGGGTGTGGTAAAAGCGGATCACGACCCCCCGTCTCTAAAAGCGCTCATCATGGATCCATATATACTTATAGCTGCAGGTATTTTACTCCTCAACTATTTGAATATTATTAATCACACTAATTAATTAAGAAATTAACTCATACCATAAATGGATTGTATTTTGCAAAAAGGAACCACTAGCATTGCGATGTTGCTAAGATTGTGCAACTTCTTTTGTCTTGGAGGAAAACCCCGATTATCCATTGATAGTTTCTATTTTACTCGCTAAAAACTGTAAATTTAAGACAAAAATAACCATCTAAATTTCATAGTTTTTCACGATTTCCGCAATTTTATTACAAAAGATGAAGTTGCACAATCTCAGCATCATTGCAATGCTAGTGGTTCCTTTTTGCAAAATGCAATCCAAATATCACTTCCACGCTCAGTAGAATAGCCAGACATTTTGCATTTGGGGAGGAGAAAGGGTCCATGATGGTCAAACATACCAAGATTGCAGTGCTGCCATTTCCCGGAATTAATTCCGAATTCCGGCACTTTTCAAATGATTGGAACTTTTGCCGGAATCTTGGAAATTCTCGGAATTTTCAGCCAGTTTCGGAATTTGGGAGGGGGGGGGGTCGGCAGTTTGACCGATTATTTCATCAAATTTGATGATGTTTTGAGCAAAAAAGACAATCTTATTTGGAACTAAATCCGGGCGTATTTCGGAATTTTTCCCCGAAACTTTTGAAAAATCAGATTTTCTCTCGGAACTTTGGGAAATGGAATTAATTCCGAGAACAGCGGAATCTTTGGTCAAATAAAATGGCGGCACTGCAATCAATCGATCGATCAATCATTCGGGTTGCATGGCTGATATTCCATTTCCATGGATAAAAATGGATGTCATAGTTTATCTACGATTATTGCACCGAGGATTCACGAATTATAGCATTTACACTCACGAGCAGGTTTCAACCACCGTGATTGCGTTGCATTTCTTTCGCATACCCAAAGTAAAGTACTTTAGTCAACCAGGTTGATACAGGAGGTTCGGCATCGACGTGGCGAAATTTCGCAACGTTGCCAAGGGTTTGTTTAAAGTACGAGCAAAGCTCAGTGGGGCATGTAGACTCCGGACGTCCGTCGTGCGAGGAGCAATTTCGCGCTTATAACACAGTCCACATCAAAAAAGAAGGTCTTCGAGTTCACGGGCACATACGTTCGTTCAAGCATCCCGGTCTTCACGCGGGAAAAATCACCAATCTGTGTAAGGATTCGTTGGAAGCAGAATTTCTCCCGCCAAAATATGATTCCCTTCTGAGGGTCAACAGATGAGGGATCAAGTCGAAGGGACGAACATTATTCGAGGAGAAATCACGGGTGCAAAAAGTTCTTACGAGCACCGGTAGATGTCAGGAGACGCTGGATGATCGACGTTACTTTATCGATGAGGCGTGGGAAAACCTCGAGGGGGGTCAGCAAGCAGGGAGCTGTGATGATGACGAGGGGTCTCCGATGTCATGCCAGGCTGTGCGATAGCGCGAGCAGAGAGATAATCATGCGGAATGTTGGGGTGTTGGGGCCATTGGCGAATGATTCGCCAGTGGTTCGATTGTCGAATCGATATCGAATAGCCTTAATCGATAGAAAGCATTGCGAAGATAGGGATTTATCGATTAGGAACACACGATAATAATGCAACGAACAATCGACCTGCGGGGTTGCATGATCTTTGCGACCACGCGACCAGGCGGGTCGCAATCAATTTCTATATAATTAGACCGCTGCTGCTGCGAACAGAGACAATGGAGATGTTGCATGTGTGAGGAATTTGCGATTTGACTGATGATTCTTATGTAAAAGTTCGCGAGAAACACGCTGGTGCCACTGGTTTTCTCTGAAGTCAACTCCCAAGCTCAAAAAAAACTCTCAAGTTGAGGTTAAAATAGAGGGGATATCCTACGCTATCCTGAGAGTCCACCTCTACATCAAGACAAACTCTCCATGCAAAGATAGGAAGCAAATACTTTGACAGGCCTGCCACTTTATTTGTGGACTCTAAAACTGAAAACACGGCAACCCTGTCAATGTATTTGCTCCCTATCTTTGCATGGAGAGTTTGTTTTGATGTAGAGGTGGACTCTCAGGATAGCGTGGGATATCCCCTCCATTTTGGCCTCAACTTAAGAGCTTTTTTTGAGCATGGGAGTTGATTTCAGAGAAAACCAGTGGCACCATCGTGTTTCTCGCGAACTTTTACACAAGAATCAACAGCCAAATCACAAATTCCTCACACGTGCAACATCTCTATTACAGAGACTCTCTATTGCTATCTTGGCAATGGTGGAAGCTTTTACTTTCGGGAATAACGTTCACGTTCACGTTCAATAATTGGACGTATTTCTGTCAAATGGAACTATGTGCATTGAGACATGAGCCGTGAGACCCATAAGAATGTGTGCATAACAGAGCTCACATCATAATGCACATAGTTCTGTTTGATAGAATTACGTCCAATTGACTTACCCACAACCCACTGGGTAAATGTTGCACAACGTGTTGGTTATTTCGTATCGCAAACATACCGAAGTTTGGCAACTTTGGGCCATGACGTCAGCGGGAGCTTATCACCCACCCGATAGGTAGGACAACAGCCGAAAAAAGGGTAATGACATGCTGCTCCCTAGCTTAGAAAGTATAAGCTTCCCTTTGTCACCAAGCGGCCAGTGGAGAGTATCTCGTCTCTGCTTCTTGGCGACAGGTGGAAACTTTTACTTTCGGGACTTTCCTTATGGACATATTTCCTTATGGACAAATATAGAAGGGCAACAGTCATCGCCCTTTCTATGGCTGTTGACCTACCTAATAGGTGAATGGTGAGTTTCGGGTGACGGCATGAGCCAAACAAGTTTCCCAAACTTTGGTTTGTTTGCGAAACGAAACCCCCAACACGTTGTTGACCATCCACCTAGTCGGTAGGTCAATAGTTGAATGTTGAATCCCCGGAAGTAAAAGCTTCCATCATTGCCAAGATACCTACCAGTCTCTTGTCTCTGCCAAGACGCCAGCATAGAATAAAGAGACTAACGTCAACAGAAGCGAAAGCCACCGCCATGTTCATGTCAACGAAGCATAACGAAAGGAGGCTGTTTCAATAAGTACTGTTTACGTTTGCGGTAGGTCGACGTTTTGGAGAGGTCGAATAATAACGGATACGTAAGTTTTAAGGAATTGAAAGAGTTTTCTTTTAATTTATTTATCGTTATACCGAAGAAGTACTGTAAATTCTCTTAAAATTTAATGTTTTTTTCCACTTTTATATTTGTAGGTAACCTCGAAATTGGTTTCAATAAGGACCGACTCAGAGGAGAAAAATGTTAACATTGGTTCTTACGGAGCTTTCGCTTCTGTTGACGTAGTCTATTTATTCTATGACGCCAGTGGGGGGTCCCTCTTTGTCCCTGCCGGCGGAATATGAGAGCTTCCTCCTGTATGAGATTAAGCTCTCGTAATACCACAACGATTAGCAATTTACTTTGATTTTCAGGAGCTATAACTTTTGCGAATACGGGAATAGCAATGTTGGAACCCTCGCTTCCGATTTGGATGATGGACACCATGGGGGCCGGGCGATGGAAGCAAGGGGTCACCTTCCTCCCGGCCAGTTTCTCGTACCTGATCGGAACGAATCTTTTCGGACCTCTCGGACACAAAATGGGCAGGTACAGCACCATCTCCCAGTAAAGTCATTTAAGGTCTAAGCTATCGGTTATGATACACTGAAAAAAAAATTCTTGAGATATTATGTTGACTCAAAGCGTCGTTTCTTCTCGACAAAATTTGGTTTTTTGAGTTAAATCTGTCAGTTAGTTTTTTAGTTAGAAAAGCGTCGTTTTGTTATTGTTGAGATTCAGATAATAAACGATAGCAAAACAACGTTTATTTAACTCAAAAAACTGATTTTAACTTAAAATCACACGGATTTCACTTAAAAAAAAAAAAAAAAAAAAAAAAAAAAAAAAAAGGTGTCCACAAGAAACGAAGCGTTAAGTCAAATTAAAATCTTGAGATATTTTTTTTCAGTGACGTACACTCCTCACGTATACACACCTCGTCACTCTGGAGTTACAACACATTGTCTTTCAAATTATTTTACAAAGTTGGTGAATAATAATTGAAATAGCCTTCATGCCGGCTGGGCTTGTCGATTTCCTATGAAATTTTTGCAGTGGTGAATGCATAGCTGAGGTGCGCTCCAGCTGGAATTGTATTTAGCAAATGAGTGGTTTTTATACGAGGATGAAAAATAAACAAGTGGTACGGAACAGTGGCGTAACGGGCGCCCCCGCAGACCCTGCTATGCAGGGGGGCCCAAGCGCCTAGGGGGCCCTCCAGGCCCTCGGCCGCCGAAATTTTGTTTTTCTCTGTCTCTTTGACGCTTAGCTTTGGTTTCAAACTTTGGGCCTTTACTTACCGAGATGGGGCTTCTTCCGCTGATTTTTATTGTTAGCTCAGGGTTTTACATACTTCTTTTGGACTGTTCCTAACTTTTTTTTTGCTGAAGGGCCCCTGCCTTCCAATGTCCACTCATTGATTACTAAAATTTGTCTCTATTTTGTCACTTTTCGTAGGTATTTCGGGCTTTGGGTGACCCATGCATCTAAAGGGCCCACTAGGCCCTTCGATTCTTGGGCCTGCATGGGCCCTTTTGTAGATCCTTGGGCCTGGGTTGGGCCCCCGCCACCCTTTAGATCCTTGATCCTTTAGGGGCCCCATTTAATCGGGTACGGGATCCGGGACAGTGAGGGGAGAGGCATTCCAAGTCCAAGTCCGTGATTTGAAATTTCTCGGGTCAAAAAACGGGAAGGGGTGAGGGAAGTAGAGGGGCGGGAGGGGGGATGATTTTGGAATTTTATCGACATGGGGAGGGGGGCTAGAAAAAATTTTGCAGGGGGGCCCAGCGGAAGTCCGTTACGCCACTGGTACGGAATATAACAAAAGAATATGAACTATGCAAAACGATAATCCGGGTAGCGGAACTTGGCTGTTTTGAAAACGCCTTCAAATGCGGCGCGATACCTCACGCATTCCGGAGAGTTCAAATAGTTGTATCATTGCGCCGGAAGAATGTGACGGAAGATTACAATCGAAATAGCCTTATACACGCCGGGCTTGTCGATTTACTTTGACACTTTTACAGTGGTGAATGCATAGCTGAAGTGCGCTCCAGCTAGAATTGTATTTGGCGAATGATTAGTTTTTATAGGAGGATTGAAAACAAACAAATGGTAGGAAATAAAAGTACATAATAATAGGAAATATGCAAAAAAATAATCCGGATAGCGAAACTTGGCTGTTTTTACTTGAGCTTGTAAGAGAACCTAACAAACCTCGTCTAACGCTTTTTTAAATTCTTTTTTCAGATGGCTTGCTGCTCTTTTGGGTCTTGTCATAATTGGCGCATGTCTGATTATGGTAATTTTAATTTTTTTCTACGAATAATTATGCAGAGCCAGTAAAAAAACTGTTTCAGCCATTCATGAGACACCACACTGTGATGTAAAATGAACTTTAAGCACTGATGAAAAGGAAAAGAAAGAAGGAAAGAAACGGATATATTGAATGTAAGGAGTTTCTGTTTGGACGGGTCTCATTATTTTTAGCTGATCTACAAGAATCAAGCATCAGAACACAATTCTGTGACCAGCGCACATAGGTGGATCCAGCAAATTGGCAACGTCGTTTTTCCCCCATTTAAACTTATGGAATTGTATCGTTGAGGGGCCGGGTGCTTCGACAAGAATCGATTGTTCAGCATAGGTTTAAATGGAGGAAATACGATGTTGCCAAATTGCTGGATCCGCCTCTGCCAGCGCAACTGACCCATTTTATGAACGTGTTGATTTGAAACCAACTTTTGCCAGTCATAACTCCGCATGGAGAAAAAAACTTCGTGCGTGAGACCCGAAGTTCAGGTCATATGCATCTCTGAAGTTTTCAGATTGAGCACCTGAACACTTAAGGTCTAGCTGCCAAAGTTCAGGTCAGACATCCGAAACTTCAGTCCTTACATCTGAAGTACTTCAGATGTGAAAACCGAAGTTTTTCGGATGCGAAAACCGAAGTACTTCAGATGTAAGAACTGAAGTTTCAGATGTCTGACCTGAACTTTGGCAGCTAGACCTTAAGTGTTCAGGTGCTCAATCTGAAAACTTTAGAGATCCATATGACTTAAACCTCGGGTCCCACGTACGAAGTTTTTTTCTCCGTGGCGGCACAGAATTCTACTCCAAACTTTTCAACGGTGTGTGAAGTGTTCCTGTAGTTTCCTGATTCCTGATTTCCTGATTTTTCAGATCCCGTTCGCGAGGAGTATAAACCACCTGATCATCCCGAACGCGGGCCTCGGTTTTGCCATTGGCATGGTGGATAGCTCGATGATGCCAGCATTGGGCTACCTCGTGGACATTCGGCACACGGCCGTGTACGGGAGCGTCTACGCCATCGGAGACGTCGCCTTTTGTTTGGGATTCTGTATAGGTCTGTACATCTTGAGTCCCTTTAAACTGAAAGTGAAGACAGTGCGAATCCATTTGGTTTGGTTCCTGCAGTTTAGGCCTCCACAGTGTCACAAACGGGAATTAAGATTACATTTTCACCAATAGAGAATTTGCAAGTGTCTGAAATTTGATGAATTTCGTGTTTAAGTGGAAACTACTGAGTGAACTGAACACGAGGAGGATATCCTTGGTTCATGAATTGAACAATTATTGAAGAAGATATGACAAGATGAACTGATCTGCTAAAATACATGCGTTTAAATGGGAAATGCCGCCGGATGACGTCACTAGGCGGTGCATTTTCTCACTTTTGAATATATTTTTATACTATTCCCATTCCCATACGCGAAAACAATTGTAAAAAATACGGTGAAATCGGCTCTCTAGGCACTTTCAGATGAAGCTATAAAAATGTGTGTGCAAATTCTCCACTTAAATAATATGACAAGGAAAGTACTCTTGATTCACTTGCATTTTTGCTTGTATCAAATATTTCAACTTTTTTCAAGGATGTACCTACTCGATTTCCCCCCAAAATGTGTCTAATTTTGGTGTGAGATCAGAGGAAAAATCAAGAACATTTTCGGTTGGGAATGCCCAAGATTCTCCCGGTAGGTAAAAGTGCAATTTTCGAGGAGAAATTTGGCAACATTGGAATGCAGTTACGTTCTTTCGCGAGAGAAACTATGAATTATTCGCAAGCATTCACGGTGTGCATTTTGTTTCCAGGGCCTGCTCTTAGTGGGACTCTCGTAAACACGATTGGATTCGAGTGGATGCTTTTCGGGATAGCGTTCCTGAATTTCGCGTACGCTCCACTGCTGTACTTTTTGAAGAGCCCGCCAACAAAAGAGGAGAAGAAGGTAAGTTGGATTACATTTTGCAATAAGGAACCAAGACCATTCCATTATTGCTAGGATTTTTCAACTTACATTATTTGCAGTAAAATTCCTGAAATTATGCATCGAACTATAAATTTAGAAATGTAATTCTCGGCTTTAATTAATAGTTATCGGGAGTAAAGATAAAATTTGTTTGGATGACCAGTCTATGTTTGCAAGGTAACTAAAGTTGCACAATCTTAGCGACATGGAATGCTCGTGGTTCCGTTTTGCAAAATGCAATCGAGTTCAAAAATTGAAAAAAGAACAAAAGGAAACATAATAACTGGCCAAATGTATAATGCCGTAGAACGCCACCTAAAGGCGGTTCAAGTATTACGTATAGGTTCCTTAAAGGAGGCAAGGGATAATCTCCCCAAGGGGGGGGGGGGGGGGGGGGGGGGGCTCATCTCATAGGATCTTATGAGGGAAAGGAAGATCAAGTCCAATCAAACCTAAATCACCCATTTTTTAAAAAGAAATCAATATTTTCCAAAGAAAATGGTTTCTTTCAAGCTACCTTCGAGACTTTCTTTTTTTCTGTAAAATTTGGAGGCACGGAGGAGGGGCAGGTCAATCTTATGGATGTTTCCTGTTTCCTAATGAGAGGTGTGGGGAGGAGTAAGAAAGAGGAAACAGTAGAGAGGGAAAGAGAGATAGAGAGAGGAATGAGGAGTGAGGTCAGAATGAGAGCCTGACTCAAGGAAAGGGAAAACGCCTTCAATTGAGAATGATACTGCGCAACACACGGGAGCTTGAATAGTTGTATCATTCCATTATTTACGATATTCTGATGGTTGTGGTTGAGGTCGGGATCCACGGAGGGGGGAGGGGGTGTAGAG